TTTTTTTTTTGCTTTTATTTTTTATGTGTATCAGACTACGAACTGGTATTGTAGTCTTGCTCAAACTTTTGAATTTATGAATTGAGCTGCATTACAAATATTAATGCTTTAAATGTATGTTGCAAATAAAAATTTGCCTAGGATAAATTCTTTATCATTCTAGTAAATTGAAGACCGATTTAAGAATTGACTGCAAGTGCATTTAAAATTTTCTTGGTACAAATTGAAGTCTCAAAAGATAGATTGGTTGAGATTAACATATGGGTTCTGAAATAAGATCCAGCTCTTTAATTTATAATTTCATTCTCTCGAATACTGGAAGGGTTCGCAAAAGTGTTTAAGGTGGTTCACTTTTGACATATGTTAGACGTCTCGTATAGGCACATTATGCAGTTGGTTTATAAATTGTTTGTTTTTTTTCACGAATTTGGAAGCAAATTTCTGAAATTACGTTAAAATTGGGTAGTGGACTGCTTTGAGGATTTACTACTAGAAGTTTAAAATACAGTGAGGTTTTTGGGCGGAGAAGTTACGGTGCCATCTGGTAACAGGCTGTATCAGAGCTGATTTTAATAAATTTCTTTCGTACTGTGAAACCAATTAACTCACACTTGAAGGAACAAGTTTTATTTCGTTTATTTTATTTTTGTCAAAAAGTAGCTAAGACGGCTAGAGCTGTTTCAGAATAATTCACCAACTGCACTTGGAACTGTGTTCTAAGGGGAAAGCTAAACAACATTTGTGGGTTTCAAATAAGCGATTTCTAACAAATGCTGTTTCGGTTTTAAAAAGTCTAAAGAGTAGTAACTTCGATAGTTTAAGGTCTACTTGTAAAATCAACTTGGCATCTCTGCGGTGCTCCTGCTGGTTCAAAAGTTAAAATAATCATTGTTAGTCATCCGCGGCGGCGTTTCTGAGGCATCAAATATGGGGGTTTTTTCTCAGCGCCAAAGCGTTTATTTTTGTGAGGAGGCTGAGGACTTCGTCTCATTTGAGCAACTACTGCGAGGTTAATGAAATTCATGTATTCAACTTAGTTCTTATGCTAGAGCAGACAACTGGTTGTGACGGATAAGAGCAACAAGTGACTGACTGGTTTTAATCTAGTCGTTTTAATAGCATTCTTTAAAAGTGGTTTTTTTAAGCTCTTTGGTACTGTGGATCTTGCTAACAGTAAAAACAAGAAGCTAAATAGTGATTTTACCTCTGTTGTGTGGATGGGAAGACAAAAAAAAATTTCTCCTTTGACACTACTAGTTTTCTGAATTTCAGTTTCGTGGATAAGGAAGGTTATAAGTCAGGAGCTGTTGAGGTTGTGTTTTAATTTTCATCAGTCAGAATCCGAGATATTTGTCTGCTAAAATATAAATAGCAGATTTAAAAAATTCTTTTTTACCTGTCTTGACAACAGTGTGGCTTAATTCAGAGGTCGACATCAAGTTGTAAAGACAAACTTTTGGCATAGAAAAGCAAAATATTTCTTTTTTGGTTACGTCTTGGTGGGGGTTCTGTGACTGTCTCGACCCTTAATCTGTTGACTGTTGTTTGCTAGAGAGAACAGCGGGAATAGTGCGGAGGGAAATCACAAAACAACAAGTCTATAACTACCGTGACACCTTAGCAGACTTTATTGCAAAAACCGGTAATAGGCGGAATGACCAAGTTTGGTATGCCTAAAAGGTTTGGTTTCTAGTGATATCAAAATTTAGATAAATAAATTCGACAAATACTAAAAAGATTCCCGCTGAAAGTAAACTAAGTTTGGTTTGAAACGTGTTCTGCTTCTATAGTTTAGTCAATTATTCAGGCAACTTATTAAAAAGAAATAAAAACCAACTAAGAATAATCAAATTTTTGAAACAGATTCTGCAAACTGTCAGAAATTTGAGTTTTACACTTATGACCAGTTTATAGTAGAATTTCATTAATCTACACAATTATTTTCTCGGTTAGCAAACTTTTAAGTATGAATATTTTGCAAGACCTAATGCCTCTTTGTGTATTGTAGACCGTTGTATTATAAACTCGACAACTGAATTAGGCTATAGGTGGTAATTTAACCGAGTTTGTAGATCACCAGATCTTGTTCAAAGTCACGTAGAAGGGTAAGATTAGTGTGTATTCTTTCGATTTGTACAGTCAAGCAGTTTTGTATCAGTTACATTTTGGGTTTTTTATCGCCCGAAATATGCCTAAAGTTTCGCTATTCTTTTTCTTGGTTTCACTAATCACTGTTTCATTTGCTTTATGCCCAACTCACATAAGCAAAATATGCTCATGCGAAGATAATGGACCCGGGTTTGTTGTCTCTTGTCACAAACCGAACAGTGACCTGAATACGTTTCTCTCTACAATGGAAAAATTACGCATTGAACAGTTAACAATAGTTGATGCATCTTGGCCAGTAAGCTGTTGCGTATTTGTTTACTGCTTTACTGTCAGGTGATAATTAAAAGTTCTCACAGTTGTAATAAGTCCTATTTTTTTCACTTCTTTTGTAGTTCATTTGTGTTTCTATAAATTTTGCTTTAACTTTTTCAAAGGCTTGTAGAAACTAAAGTGTACAAATTTATATTTTCATAATTTAGTTGTTAAAGCAAATAACTCGGATTACTGTAAGATCTCTTCGACTGATACGATGTGGAATAACGGAGATTGAAGCAGATGCTTTTCTGCCTATCGCTGACATACTGGAAAAGTTGGTCATTGTTAATAACTCGCTCGTTAATTTAGCTACGCTTGGTTCTTTGCCTAAACTGCAGCTGCTTAACCTCGATTACAACAAAGTAAGTTTTTCAAGCTTAATTTTTTTTTGTTTTTTTCCAGTAATTTTCCATGTGGGGTTTTAATTCTTAGTGCGCAATTTAAATGTAGACTTTTCATTAGGTGTTGACTCTGCTGTGGCATGTGTCATTATTGCGGTTTTTCTGTCAAGTGACAATAGATTTTATATTAGAACTTTTTGTATAGCAATTTGTACATAAAAGTAATGCATAGAGAGTTCTCAGTGTTGTGTCGGTAACAGGTAATCGTAGTGGAAAAAAAAAGCAAATTAATGTGCTTTTTTTCCTTAAAATAGCAAGGGCTATAAATAATCGCACTTTCAAATTTGACTGTTGAAGAAGCCAGATAAAACTGCACTTGAGCGGACGTCTTTTCAAAAATTGCTTGTTCCTGACTACTGTTTTTACATCTATTAAAAGTTTTAAAATGTAATTCTCTTAATTTTAGTTCATGCGATCAAGTTTTTGATGATGTTCGGAGGTTTTTTGTAGTTTCAAATATCCTGCATTTTCAAAGTACTTTGAGTTAATTCATTACAGCATCAGCAAGTTCAATACAAAATGTGTATAAGCTTTGCTCCGCAAGTCTCAGCCTTATTCTTTTGTCTTTCCAGTGTTTGGAATTATAATCTTTCACCTTCTTAACTATAACATCACTAACTTTAAGATTTCTTTTTGTTCATACTTTATTGCATTTTCTTAGAAATTGTACAGTCAATTCTCATCATTAACTTTTTAACTGTGAATTTTCCTCCTTAGAAGAATAATTTTTAAGCTTTTCACCAGAAGGATCAATGAGCGATTAAAAAATATAAAATAGTGGCTTATTATAATCATGAGGCCAAACTCAGGTTGCAAATAAAGATGGTAAATTAAAACACGGAAGAAATGCTGCCAGGTAATTCCGAGAGCAATCGTGCAGTAAACTTGCAAAACTTTGCCTAAAGTACTTAGCTCTACTTCCAGTTGTCACTGCACAGAGCATAGAAGCAGACAACGCGTTGTAGGTCTTTAACAGGTCACGTGTGGTGGTCGTAGAATTTATTAGATCTAGCGCAGGTTTCAAGATCTTACCGTAACTTTGATAAAAGTCAAATTTTTATTTATGACGAGAACAGTTATAGTTAAATGTGTTATCGAAGGACGTGTTTAAAAGACTTGGAAAATTAAAGCATCTTAGACTGGAAGGTAATATGCTCAGCGAGTTGCCAAGGTAATTTTTGTTGTAATTATCAGTTAGATATTAATGTACTATCCAAAATATTAAATTGAAATATCAGGCAACATGAAACAAGTGCAATTTCCAGAGACCTACTGAAAGATGTCGGAGAAACGTTAGAGCTACTAGATTTGAGTAACAATGCTCTTACGACGGTTCCTTCGGATGCTCTCTCAACAACGAAAAACTTAAGATATCTCGACCTTTCTTACAACAAAATAAGTACTCTTCGTAAAATAGACCTACGTCATATGGATAAGTTAATAGTATGTTTTTTTTCTGACAGTTTGAAAAGCTTATTTTTTAAACTTTTTGCTTTTTTGCCTAACAGAAGTATATATTTGATGATGTTTTGGAGCTATATCAACTTTTCATTAACTGAAATGGGATGGAAAAGTGTTGATGTCTTTAACTTTGCTGTTGTGTTGCTTAGTTCTGCAGGAAATTCGGCTGAATGACAATGCATTAACAAGCATTGGTGATGGAGCATTTGATGAACTCACTCAGCTACAGTACCTTTACTTGCAACGGAACGGTCTTACTAACTTCGATTCTTCAAGACTCCTCGACGGGTTAAAAAAACTTGAGGTGTTGGACCTCTCATGTAATAATCTCGAAAAGGTTTGCTACTATTGCAACAAGTTGTCTTTAAAAAGTTCTTATACAGTTTTTGAAGATTGTTGTAGAACCTGAAGTTTCTTTGTTATTTAATGAGGTTATTATATTTGCTCTTTTAGGTACCCCACTTGCACAACCATCCAAATGTTCGGCAAGTAAAGTTCGATAGTAACAAAATTCGTGTTCTTAGGAGTTCCACTTTCAAGAATAATCCGAGACTGCAACTTTTAAGTTTACAGGTATACGACAGTTTAGATACGCACTCATTGATTGAATTATTCAAAAGTCATTCAAATGCAGTTTAGGTGCACTTTAGAACCCATGTTAGTACGGTTCGTTTTAATAATTTCTGAGCTAGACTTTCGCTGCTGGTGTGGCGAAGGCTGTTCCATTTCAAATTACAAACATAGATCTTTAAAATTGTTTAGCAGATCTGTGATGTCTTCAGCAGTGTTATTCATTTTAAGTTGAAATTATTCATTTAGATGGCATTGACACAGGGGACACACCTTTACCTTGTTCTTCAGATGTACCCCTTCTTCTTCTATTTTAAAAATGCATTTTCAGAACAACCGTATTGATTCGTTGGCTGATGGGACATTTCACGAACTGAAGCAACTAACAATTCTTCTTCTGGAGAATAACCTTATTCGTAAATTAGGTCCTATTTTCCCCACAACACCTACACTTCCCTATTTGTCTAAAGATGTATACTTTTGAAATTATTGCTTTCAACTGAAATATTGCGGTTTTAGACAGACTTATGCTCAGGGGAGCCCCAAGGCTACAACAACTAAACCTTCGTAACAATTCCTTGAATGAACTGGAAAACAATACTTTCCAGTTTGTTCCTGAATTGAAAATAATTGACTTGTCTTACAATGGTTTACACCGTATCCCAAGAAATTTATTTGTTCCTTTACGCAGTGTGGTTTGGTTGGATCTTTCGTTTAATGCTCTGTCGTCTTTTGAAGAAGGAACATTCAACTCCAGAATTCCTCATATTATTTTAGTTGGTAGGTTCCATTCAAAAGAAGAAAATTCTAACACCGCTTTAGGGGCGAATTAGCGTATTGCTTTATAGGTAACCCGCTGGAATGCGATGCAAAGATAGACTGGTTTGTTGCCTATCTGATAAAAAACCAAGTTCGTACACAACTGCCACTTCACCCATACGTAACATGCACTTCTCCAAAGAAGTATGTCGGAGTACGGTTGCAAGATTTGATAACGAAAAAAGCGGAAGATACGTTGAATGCGGTTGGAAATTCTTTTAATCCCAAACCAGCGAGGAGCCAACAAGACTTCTTATCAAAACTACTTCCCTCCACCTTGGGTAGGCTGATTCCCGGGTTCACACCACCGCCACCTCCAAATCCAGTTGCCGATGTTCCTGTCATTGGAGGAATTGCGGAGGCAGTTCCTGCACTCAGGAACATTCCTGGCCTTAGTCTCATACCGAAGCCAGAAGGTGTTGAGGCGGAAGAAGC